CAGGGGGTGGAGTGTGTAGGGGATGTCCTGATTTGTGTGTATCTGAGTTTGTATGTGTAAGGGCTGCAAGGTGTGTTTCTGTGTATGTAAGGGATGAAGTGTGTGAGTCTGTAAGGGGTGCTTTGAGTGTGTTTAAGGGGTGCATTGAATGTGTGTAAGGAATGCATTGTGTGTTTCTGTGTGTGTAAGGGATGCATTGTGTGTAAGGGTTGCATTGCGTGTGTGTGTGTGTGTAATGCATTGTGTGTGTAATGCATTGTGTGTTTTTCTGTGTGCAAGGAGTTCATTGTCTTTGTGTGTAAGGGGTGCATTGTGTGTGATTGTGTGTGTGTGTGTGATGGATGTCGATCTCTCCCCCCTCCCTTGTCACTCTCTTCTCCCCCCCCTCCCTTGTTACTCTCTTCTCCCCCCCTCCCTTGTTACTCTCATTCCCCCTCCCTCCCCTGTCACTCCCCGCTCCCTGTCAATTTCTCTCTCCCCGTCAATTCCCTCCCTCAATGTCTCCCCCTCCTGTTAGTTCCCCCCCTGTTAGTTTCTTCCCCCCACCTCCCTGTTGGTTTCTTTTCCCCTCCTGTTAGTTTCTTCCCCCCTCCCTGTTAGTTTCTTCCCCCCACCTCCCTGTTAGTTTCTTTCTCCCCCCTCCCCTGTCAGTTTCTTTCTCCCCCCTCCCCTCCCCTCCCTGTTTCTTTCTTCCCCCTCCCTGTTTCTTTCTTCCCCCTCCTTCCTGTTTCCTTCTCCCCCTCCCTGTTTCCTTCTCCCCCCTCCCTCCCTCTTTTTCCCCCTCCCTCCGTTTCCTTCTCCCCCCTCCCTCCTCCCTGTTTCTTCTCCCCCTCCCTCCCTGTTTCCTTCTCCCCCTCTCCCTCTTTCTTTCCCCTCCCTCCCTCCCTGTTTCTTTCTTCCCCCTCCCTCCCCTGTTCTTTCTTTCCCCTCCTCCCTGTTTCCTTCTCCCCCCTCCCTCCCTCTTTCTTACCCCTCCCTCTTTCTTCCCCTCCCTCCCTCCTCCCCTGTTTCTTTCTTCCCCTCCTCCTCCCTCCCTGTTTCTTTCTTCCCCTTCCCTCCCTGTTTCCTTCTCCCCCCTCCCTCCCTCTTTCTTCCCCTTCCTCCCCTACCTGTGTAGTAGCGTGGCCGAGGCCTGTATAGTCGGCGGGTACAGGGAGCTTTTGTTTCCTGTACCCGGCCGGACTAACAGGAAGTGAACACTCAGTGTGCACTTCCTGTTAGTCCGGCTGGGTACAGGAGACAGCTGCTCCCTGTACCCGCTGACTATACTGGGCTCGGCCACGCTACTACAGAGGGAGTGACAGGAGGGAGCGCTGAGCGCTGAGCGCTGAGCGCTTCCCTCCTGTCAGCCCCTCTCCCCATGCTGCGCCCGGGCGGTGCGGTCCGCCCTCATGGACGCACCGCCCGGGAAAAGCTGCAGCCGCCTGAGGCTCACTACAGAGCTCGGGCGGCTGCAGCATGAGGGGGGCCGGCGCTCCTGGCGGCGCCCCTTCCCAAGGGGCACCCTAGGCGGCTGCCTAGTCCGCCTTACAGGTAGCGCCGGCCCTGAATATATGTAGAAATATAAATGCATTTTTGGTCATAGCGCTTTTCTTTAATACAGTTTCTGCGTGCGAAGTTTAACTTTTAATCTTTTCGACATGATGTGTTATTAAAGGAACACTATAGCATTAGGAATTCAAAACGGTATTCCTAATGCTTTAGTGTTCTTCTGTCTCCGTGGTCTCCCCCAGTGTTAAGAGGGCTAATAACCCTTTTTTCTCTCACCTTAATCCTAATGCCGAGGTCCCTTGGTGCTGACTTAATTTCCTCTTCCCGCGTTGTCAGGTGGATGGAGCACCCAATGTGTATGCACGGGCTGCCGTCATGTATGAAAGCATTTAATCAGTGGATTTTGAAGACGCTGGGTGTCCTAATTCAAAGTGTGAGGACCAAGGCCGGACTGGGAGAAAAATTCGGCCCGGGCATTTTTTTAACACAGCGGCCCACTAAAAAGGGGGCGGGGCAGAGGAGGTGTGTTTTGTCACCAATGACAGACACGCCTCCTCTCAAAGTGAGCATGTTGGTTCAATGCTCTTCCAGGGCAGACCATGCGCAGAGCTCTGCTGAAGAGCTCTAGCATGGAAAAAAGTCCTGTATTTGTTTTGCACAGTGCAAGCAAATTTAATAACATGCTTGCACTGTGTTTCCTTGCAACTTGTCTCTGGTGTCTATAAATGGATACCAGGAGACAAAAGGCCAGGAAAGAGTATTGTGCATGTGTTTGGAGCCTGCTTGGTATTGCGTGTAGAGTGAGCTGGTCGTGGTGTGGTATTGTGTAATAAGGTCGGTTTTAGTCGTGTTGTGTTTGTGGTGTAATGTGATGCATATGTGGCTATGGGCTGTAGAGAATGTGTGTATTGGGGATATAGCAAGTGTGTGCATACAGGCTATAGTGTGTGTATTTAGGGGTGTAGAATGTGTTTGCTTACAAGGAATCTAGTGTGTGTATAGGGGATCCAGAGTGTGTATGTTAAAGGACCACTATAGTGCCAGGAAAACATACTCGTTTTCCTGGCACTATAGTGCCCTGAGGGTGCCCCCACCCTCAGGGACCCCCTCCCGCCCGGCTCTGGAAAGGGGAAAGGGGTTAAAACTTACCTTTTCCAGCGCCGGGCGGGGATCTCTCCTCCTCCGATCCGCCCCGTCGGCTGAATGCGCATGCGCGGCAAGAGCTGCGCGCGCATTCAGCCAGTCGCATAGGAAAGCATTTATAATGCTTTCCTATGGACGCTTGCGTGCTCTCACTGTGATTTTCACAGTGAAAAGCACTCAAGCGCCTCTAGCGGCTGTCAATGAGACAGCTGCTAGAGGCTTTGGGGGAAGGCTTAACCCATTGATAAACATAGCAGTTTCTCTGAAACTGCTATGTTTATAAAACAATGGGTTAACCCTAGAAGGACCTGGCACCAAGACCACTTTATTAAGCTGAAGTGGTCTGGGTGGCTAGAGTGGTCCTTTAAGAGTGTAGTGTGTGCGTGTATACATATATATATATATATTTGGAAGTATTGTGTATGTTTGTGGTGCAGTGTGTTGGGGGGGGTTCTGTGTGTATGTGAGGGGTGCAGTATGTGTGTGTGAGAGTGTGGTGTGTGATGGGTGTGAGAGTGCCGTGTGTGAGTGATGGGTGTGAGAGTGCCGTGTGTGAGTGAAGGGTGTGAGAATGCTGTGTGTGAGTGATGGATGGGAGAATGCCGTGTGTGAGTGATGGGTGTGAGAATGCTGTGTGTGAGTGATGGATGGGAGAATGCCGTGTGTGAGTGATGGGTGTGAGAATGCTGTGTGAGATGGGTATGTGAGATGGGTGTGAGAGTGCTGTGTGTGTGTGAGAGCTCTGTGAGAGTGATGGGTGTGAGAGTGCTGTGAGAGAATGCTGTGTGTGATGGGTGTGAGAGTGATGGGTGTGAGAGTGCTGTGTGTGATGGCTGTGAGAGTGCTGTGAGAGTGTTGTGAGTGTGAGAGAGTGCTGTGTGTGTTAAAGTGCTGTGTGTGAGAGTGCTGTGTGAGAGAGAGTGCTGTGTGTGTGTGAGAGTGCTGTGTGTGATGGGTGTGAGAGTGCTGTGTGAGAGAGAGTGCTGTGTGAGAGAGAGTGCTGTGTGTGTTAAAGTGCTGTGTGTGATGGGTGTGAGAGTGCTGTGTGAGAGAGAGTGCTGTGTGTGATGGGTGTGAGAGTGCTGTGTGAGAGAGAGTGCTGTGTGTGTGAGAGAGTGCTGTGTGTGATGGGTGTGAGAGAGTGCTGTGTGTGATGGGTGTGAGAGTGCTGTATAAATGTTATTGTGTGTATGTAGGGGGGGTAAATAATAAAAAAAAAAACAGGTATTATTCACCGCCCTCCCTTCTTACCTTTAGCCTGGGAGGGGGGGACCGGCACGCTGGGACTGGAGGCGGGGAGGCAGTGTTCCCTGGTGGTCCTCGTGGGTGAGTGAACTCCTCGCGAGATCCGGTCGTTGCCATGGCAACGCGCCGGATCTCGCGAAAGGATCCCGGCGGAGCCGCAAATTAGAGCTCCGCCGGGTCCTCTCTCCAGCCTGGCTGGCTGTCTCCCTCCCTCCCTCCCCGCCGGCGGCCGCATGTGGGCCGGTGAGGGAGAGTTTTGATCTCCCCACCGGCCCGTCGTGGCAAACAGCGGGGCCGGCGCTAGGAGAGTGCCGGCCCTGCATAGACCGGCAGGGGAGATCCTGGGACCTCCCCTGCCGGCCTCGGCCCCACGGACACCGCGGCCCACCGGGCATTTGCCCGGTGTGCCCGATGGCCAGTCCGGGCCTGGCAGTAGCCTTGTACAGGGTGAAAAAGGCCCTCAGTGATCCCAGTCAAGCCTCGGCGACTGGGTCTAAAGTGCTCCAGGGTCCCTGATAGCTACAAGGAAACAGACTTGGCGGAAATACTCGGTCGGAGTACTGGAGCTCCGTCACAACATGAGTATTTCATACATTGTACTTAAATGTAGGAATGGACTGGACAGTCGAATGGGGTTGAGAAAAATCACCAGCAGCCTCTGGTTCATGTATCTGTCAGATAGAAGGAAAACAAATATAAATAAAAACTAATTGTATTTCAACTCATCTTAAAAATCACTTCTACATAGTAGCTGTGTGGTGCCATGAGTGCCCTAGCACCATCCTCTGGTAAGAAGTCAGACTGTTTTAGAATGATTTAACAACTTACCTGGGTTCCTCTTGGCCTGCACTGCATCAGCCACATCTAGTCTTTTTCAGCAGGAGAACCTGGATTGTTCTATAGAGCAAAGCAATCTGATGTGTGACCGCGCTCATTGGTTAAAAATGCTTAGTTGCCGCTAATGGAAGTGATCTTGCTTTAGGAGTTAAAATTGAAGTATTCCATGTATGATGTCAAAGTTCTTTGCTTTGCTACTGAACTTAATCTTCTAACGCAGAAATAGCAACATTGCACATATACAAACCCCTTTATATCTTGTTTTTACGTCTCTGTATCGGCAGGTACACATTGGATATTTACCAAACAAAAAGGTTGTTGGATTGAGCAAACTGGCAAGGTAAGACCAAAAGCAAAAAAAAATAATATATATAATATATATATAGAAAAAAACCATGGAAATGATGTGACATCCACTACATATCGCCTTTAACCCCTTAAGGACCAAACGTCTGGAATAAAAGGGAATCATGACATGTCACATATGTCATGTGTCCTTAAGGGGTTAAACTTTAGGAAACTTCAGATAGGATTTTAACAATGTTGTACAGAATTATTCCTCTTATTTCCCCTTCTCTTTGCTCTCTCTCTATTCCAAATGGTTGTCATTGACTTGTAGTAAATTACCTTCATTTTAATATACAGTAAAGTAGGATGGTCTGGTTTTTTTTTTTTGCTCTTTTTTATTACAAACTCATAACTTACAAAACCATAACTTCTTACATAAAATATTGTTAAATCAGTGTCTTGAAGAATATGAACTTTAAAATGTTTTGCTTTGTTTTAGGATTGTTGAAATCTTTAGTCGAAGGCTGCAAGGTTTGTACATTTTATTTAATCATTTCCGATTTAATTAAATGTATACCCCTGGTACTGTGTCGTAGAGGTCTGCAATGTTGTTTGCTACATATCTGGCAAACGATGTGAAGTTATTGTGCTACATATCAAGTGCTAGGCTGCCCTCAGCATTTGTGGAACGTTGCACCTTGTGCTAATTCTTGAAGGGCCTGTTCTACACCTTTGCACACTGTGATAACACTCATCATATCTGATACATATCCATTAATTCAGTGTTTTACAACATTCTTTTGACCAGGTGCTGCAGGGACATGATTAGACTGGATTATGCCAGCCAAATATTGTTATAACTTATTTGTACAGTTCACATGACATTCACAGGACTATATGCTCTGTTTAACTAGAATAACAACCTAGTTTTATAAACAGAAAAAAAAAAAACAACAATACGGTAGGAACTTTGAAGGGACATTGTTATGAAACAGCTAAACGCATTTCTTCTTAAAATGTATTAAAGTATTCTAAAGTGTTAAAGAACTTTAAATATCACCAATACATTATGCTAGCAGAAATGTAGTACCCTTTAAAATGTTGACCCTTCTCGCACCTGTCAGTTGTCAACATTGGTCTAAGCAGAGGACTGAGTGACAGGGAGAGTAAGAGAACCATGTCACAGGTGGTTTTATGCTCCTTGTCACTATGCTACTGTCCCAGACCCTCCTTACACTTGTAAGAAGGTATAGGATGCTCCAGCGCTGATGTGCTAGAAGTGGAGACAAAAAAATTAAAATCATAGACATCACTATGGTAAATTGGATATTTACAATCTTGGTGTTATATATTAAAGTGAAACCGTCATGGCAGGTTCACTTTAAAAACCAAACGCAGATGGGACAGGTACATGGCAGAAAAAAATATAACTTTTTATCCTACAACTGCTAATGAATACAAGCTCTACATATTAAAGGTCAAGAACTGATAAACTAAGCCATGATTACTAGTGTCCTTGTCACAGACATAGCCCTCTTTATTATTCTGTAAATTATATTATTTTTGTTCCGCAATAAATTATCCTGACTTCCTTGACTACAAGTTCCAGCTGAACCTAAGCTGGAACAAAGCATTTATGGGGCCTTCCTGCTTCAAGTCATTGCAAAAATCAGCTCAATAACGTATCACCGTTGGCTAACTCAGCTGATGTGTGTTCTCTGCTTCGCTATCAGATGTATTCAAATCACCAGAACAAAACCCTCTATTGTGATGTATCACCCGGTTCTTGCACGTATTAACAGCTCTTTGTACTAAATGTGACTGTCTGTTGGCCCCGCAAGGAATAATAGAATAATATTAAGCATTTTGTATCGTTCTAGTTCAAGAGAGGCTGACAAAACAAATTGCATTAGCAATCAACGAGGCTCTGCAGCCAATGGGAGTTGCTGTGGTCATGGAAGCTTCGTAAGTAATCTGCCACAATAAACTAATTGTAAACAGATTTATGTCTCTGAAGTCAAATGTAGCTAATTGAATAGAAGTCTGCTGGGAGTCTGGCTAAGCTATACTTGCCAACTGTCCAAAAAATGGCAGGGCAGTCTTGACACAGGGCCATTGCAGTGCTGGTTATAAATGCATGTACAAGCCTTTTTACATTGATAATTGGTGAATTATTCAGACTCTGGAATTTTGGCCTACGTGTTACAATTTGTAGTGAGCAGTGCCTCAAATATAACAACTTTAAAACAGACTACAAGGTTTCAAACTTTCAAATTGTACTTATAAGTAAAACAGAGAGACAGCATTTTGACCTGTTAAAGATGAACAGGGTCTGAATAAAAGGCAAATGTACTAAACATCAGAAAACTCAAAGAAGGAGGAATGTTGGTAAATCAAGATACTTTGACATAGGAAAGTTTTTTAAAGTATTACCCATTCCACATTTTATTTTAGATTTATCTACAGTAAGAGATCGAGTTCACTTCCATTATCTTCCTTTCTTCACTAGCACAGCTCATTAGACTGAAAAATATTAATTATGATAGCCATAATTAAATCTGATCACCATAAAACACAACATGGCAGCATAGGAACATATTTACATATGTTGTTACTTTAATTGATTGAAATAGTTTTGTGGTTTTATTTTGTGTGTGATAAATTTACTCTTCTTTAAATTTCAACTAACTTGCCAAATAGTTCATTACAATTGTTTGGGACTCAATATTTTGATTTTAAATTAACGTATTTCAATACAAATTATTGTTCGAATTAGTTTACCATCAGTAGACATGTTTCATGGAAATCCTGACAAAAACCCTTCTGTTTCCACAGGCACATGTGCATGGTAATGAGAGGAGTACAGAAGATGAATAGCAAAACTGTGACAAGCACAATGCATGGGATTTTCAGAGATGATCCCAAGACAAGGGATGAATTCCTATCACTCATCAAGAAATAACATAGAAACGTTTGTGGGAGGATAATCCTCATATTATTGCAATAGTTTTGTTTTACACAATTCATACGCGTTACTGAAATTGTATGCAATGGTGCTAACTATAAAACTCTTGTTTTCTTACAAATCAAAAATATTGTCCACTTGAACTTGTAAATTCTAAAACATTTGACTCAATAAACTGTATATTTTAAAACAATGTGTAACTGTGTTTAAAGGAACACTACGCTGTCCAAATTTGTTCCTTGGGGGTAAATCTAAAAAGAGCTTGCAAAAACTGCAGTTCTCATGTCTGAAGTCTTCCCCTTCTAATCCCTCACAGACTTCCCAATGCAGCTCAAAGAGAAAGAGGGGGTATAACAAGGTTTATTTATAACAGTGCCAATTTCTATTGAAATCTGCAATTTTGGTAAAAAACAAACAAACAAAAAAAAGTAGAAGAGGACACATCACATATAAAGCACTTCAATAAGCTGACACACTTTAGGTGTTGAGTATCCCTTTAATATTGTTATAAACCCCCAAGAAAACTCAAAGCAGGGACATTTGGTTTTAAACCACACGAGTTCGAGAATTATATGTTAAAGCAGCCAAGCTAAGCTAGAAAATAAATTTGGTAAATATGTCTATTTTGACCTAAAACTCTTTTCTGGGACCATTCCAGGTTAACTGAATATTCCTGACTAGTGCCAAAATGCACAGAAATGAAGAAACACAAAATGTTGGATAGTATAGGAATTTCACGGTTTAATTGATTCAGAATATATTATGATGTGTTTCCGTGCATCAATTAGTTCTATTTTCCTTTCTGATGTGTGGATTTTGTATGGCACCTATATAGTGCAAACCCTGCTTCTGTGAATTGTCTTGTCTACCACATTAGCTATTTATCTAAATAGCTAAATATTAAAAAAAAAAAAAAAAAAAAAAAAAAAAAAAAAAAAAAAAAAGGATTTAATGTGTTTTGAAAGATAAATGACAGGAGAGAAATACAATGATTCACAGCACTGGGTTATCACTTTCTGTGAGATTATGTTTTCTAGAATAAAAATAGGTCTGATTTAAAGTAAAATTCCACTGCCCAAATTTAAAAGAATAAATAAGTCACTGTTTCGTAGATATTCCCCCAATGAAAAAAATTTAATAATGCATTTTTTTTTATTGGTTTATCCAAAAACAGCTTGGAGACGCTGCAGATCTCGTGTGCAGCCTTTGCAAACCCTCGCCCTCTAACCCTGTCCAGACTTTCTGTGGCTGTCCAATGACAGACTTCCCAATGTAGGTCAAAGAGAAGGCTTTACAAGGCAGGTGCTCTGAGCGATTGCTGCCTTTGGAATTCAGCTCCACTATGATAAACAACCAGGAAGTAACACGACCGGTTGTATGATTGACAGCAAAGGGGTGTAACGAGGTTCAGTTAAAAAAGTTCAAATTTCTATTAAAATCTGCACTTTTTGTAAGATGCGGGGGAAATAGATAAATAAAAAGAGTAATTTGAAGTGTTTAGTGGTCTGCAGTGTCCCTTTAATGTGTGCTCTTATAACAGGGTCACTTAGTAAAAGGTGCCAAATTTTCTGTACACTGTAATCTTGGTTAATAGTGGTATAATACAACTAAATAAAATAAATAAATACAAAGTGGGAATTGGGGTCACACCCAGAACTTGTATTTCTAAGTAGTGGTGCTGAGTACCCAAACACGGGAATTCAGTTATACCATATGCCATATTGGGTCTGCCTTTATACCATGCCTACTTAAAGGGACACTATAGTCACCAGAACAACTACAGCTACAGCTTAATGTAGTTGTTCTAGTGAGTATAATAGCTCCCTTTAGGCATTTTCATGTAAAACACTGCCTTTTCAGAGAAAAGGCAGTGTTTACATTGCCCGTAGGGACACCTCTAAGTGGCCACTCCTCAGATGAGGAGGTCCTGATTGGCCAAAATGGCATTTGGCTCCGCCCCTATGGGAAAGCATTGGATTGGCTAAAAATCGGCTGTTTTGATGATGTCATAAAGGGAGCAAAGCCAGCGCCGGCGAACCCGCACGGTGCTGGAAATCCGTCGAGTTTTAAACTTTTATAGGGTGCGGAATACATATTTGTGTTCCTGATCCTGTAGTGATCCTTAGTGAACAGTTCGAGATTAGTGGTAGGCACCACCGCCAGTATAACAGAAAACGAATCATCATCTCATATATACATGTTTTGTACCTGTGAAAGAAATGTGTTTTCAGGGTGTGCAAAGATATCCAAGTATTGTACAGGCCATATTGCCAGTGTGAGGCAGGCAGCAATAGCCAATTGACAGCTGATCCCAGTATACAATTCCACAGTCAATGATCAGCAATCATGCCATGAGAACAATGTGACTGGATGCCAGAGCAATCCTATGGCGTGTAGGACCCATTAAGTCTGTTACTGGACAGCTGCACATGTCCAGTAAGAGCAAGTACACCCCTCAGAGATATTTATTAATGGGTATCCCTAAGCTTGCTGTGAATGATTAGTATACCTGTGTATTCAATCTCTTCTTGCCTTGGTGTGCATTCAAAATGCTATTTCTACAATGTTTCAAGATGGTTTCACACTTCATGGAAGTTTCAAGCTGCTTGCAACCTGGCCCTCACTGATTAAGATTAAATGTAACTCCACCAACAACTCATAGCAGTTACGGGCAGATGTGACAGGCCGAGCAGTCTGCTGACATGTTCAGCCTGTCACTGCAAGCGCCCTGAGACATTCAATCAGTATTAAACCATTCAAAAATAAATAAGTTAAACACTGAACCGTGAGTAGGTGTCCGAGGACTCCGGGCACCATAATCATTTTAATTAGATTAAATGATATGGTGCCTAGAATATCCAAACAATATGTGGGGATGACCTATAAAATGGTGAATTATTGAAAGTAATATTTACATAAAAATATATTTCAATAAATCGGTCTGCTTTTGATATATTTCTTCCCCGTTAGGAATAATATAATATTTAACTCCACCCAAAAACAACAAATGTCTTATTTCCCCCAAAAAACAATACCTTACAATCAGTCCTTCCTAAATACTTTATTTTTTGATGCAGCAAATAAAAACACTTTTCAGAAAAACATGCACTCTCGTACACATGATGCTCATATCAGTGATAGCTAATTCTGGCACCCCAGATGTTTGCAAACGGTTTCCCAGCCTTTGGGCATCACTGTCCTAGCATTTGTAAAAACTAAACATCAATTAAGTTTCTTGAAATATGAAGAATAAAGTGCTGTATGTAATTTTAATGGATCCATTACTATCACTACGTGAATTATGGTTACATAATGCTAAAGACAAAAAAGAAAGCAATAACTGAAGAAGAAAATACATGTTTCCTCCTTACAACACTGTGACAATTTATCACTGGGTGCACAGTTCCAAAATTAATAAAAATGAATAAATAAAAACAAAAAATCAGCTTAAAGGGGCAATTATAACGCGACCAGAATATAGTTAAAAGTTCAATAGCCAGAAAGGCACATGTGCAACACAATCTATATTGATGAGTTAGGTCCCTTTTGGGTAAATAAAAGTCATAAACAATGCTTTGGATTTCATGCCAGGTTCCAATTAGATTTTGAAATTATTTTATTATTCATCAATAATTTTACTCGAAGGAAATAGAAAACTATCTACCCCATTACCTTACAATTCACTGACCAGAATATTGTTTTTAAATAATTACACTGGGAATCACTCAATAAACTGGGTAAGTTGGACACTTCCATGAAAAAAAAAAAAAAAATATAATATATATATATAATGGAAGAAATCTCTAAATTTGGTCTAAAAGGGTGCAACGTTTACTTCTCCACATTTCTGAGTTTAGTGAACAACCTCCCTTTACTTGTATGTTTGCGGACAATTGCCCTTTATGGTGTGTTGTAATTTCTCTGAAATACATCATTGGAAAACTGCAAAATAGGACAAACTGGTATATTAGTTTCCAGCTCGCTCTTGCCTGCCTCCATCACTCCTCTAAAGCGACAGGTGATGGAGACCAGATATTCACACACAAGAATCTCTCTGCACACGTAGGGACATGTAACAAAAATTTAAGATTATTCCCTCCCCAGTGGTCTACTTCAAGAACTGCAGACTTAAGAAAATATTAAATTTAACTCTGACAAGAAAATTATAAAGCTGTTGCATTATGTCAAATAGGAACATGTAAATAAAATGAATTAAAAACCCTAATTTATTTACAATTTAAGCCACTTAGAAATCTCAACCCCTAAACATATCACCTTTCCAAACTGTTTATTTAAAATTAGCAGGTGCTTTTACCAAATTAATTAATAAACCAAAGGCAGAATGGGCATTATTAAACAGATGTTTGCTTGTAGTTCTTTGTATCCAAAACCTTCGTCCCACACATGGCACAAATTCCTAAAAGATAAAAATAGAGGGATTATCACTAGTTCAGTTAACAGCGTGAAAAGAGTGAAGGAAAAAAAAAAACCACACACACTTTACTAGTCCAATTAGTCAGTAGTCTATATGTCATTATCAAATGGACACGATAAGCCCCAAAACAACTTTAGCTTAAAGGACCACTATAGTGCCAGGAAAACATACTGGTTTTCCTGGCACTATAGTGCCCTGAGGGTGCCCCCACCCTCAGGGACCCCCTCCCGCCCGGCTCTGGAAAGGGGTAAAACGTACCTTTTTCCACCGCTGGGCGGAGAGCTCTCCTCCTCCGATCCTCCTCTTCTCCTCCCCGTCAGCTGTATGCGCACGCGCGGCAAGAGCTGTGCACGCATTCAGCCGGTCACATAGGAAAGCATTCATAATGCTTTCCTATGGACGCTGGCGTGCTCTCACTGTGAAAATCAGTGAGAAGCACGCAAGCGCCTCTAGTGGCTGTCAATGAGACAGCCACTAGAGGAAATAGGGGAAGGCTTAACCCATTCATAAACATAGCAGTTTCTCTGAAACTGCTATGCTTATGAAAAAATGGGTTAACCCT